AGCCACAATATATTTTGTGCCGCTTTCGTCGTTCGGATCGGGAAACTCGATGGAGCCAAACTCCGCCTCCAGCGTTGGAGACCGTCGATTCTACAGACACATAGTATTGTAAACGCCTATAGTCTGGATACATCTGTTAAAAGTCGGCGCAGTACCGTGTAAGCGTCGTCGCCATTTGTTGACACACTTAAAAGACTACTTTTGCCTACACCTGCAGAGCCCAGTAAGATGATCTTGTATGTGGAATTTATTGCAAGCTTAGTAGCAGACAGTTGTCGTCGTGGTGAGGATTGCTGTGATCCTGGTAGTTTTGCAATGGCAGCAGATAGTTCGTCACCGTCTAATTGCAATGAGTCTCGTAATTCGTGCCGAGTAACAATTCCGGCTTCAACATCCACAAAGCGAAGAGTTATAGGTCGTGGGGTGGCCTGCAAACTGCAATGATGTTACAAGATGCTTATAAGTTATTTGGTTTACACGTTAAGACAAACCTTAGAATGATCTCTTCGCAAGGCACGTCAACCAGATGAAAATCATTTATGTGGGTTAGGTATAGTCCGGGTCGCAGCGTCAAGTGCTCTTGACCAAGTTGCAAGTGCTTATTGTACCGTTGAGCTGGTCCGCTACCATCAGGGCCCTGTATCCGTCCAATTGTAAAGATAAGCACTTTCAAATTCGCTTTTTACATAACTCCATCACCTTTGTAAGTTCCAGCAAACGTATTGTGTAAATGCCATTGCCAGTGTCCGAAGTCTGGGCTGGGTGAAAGCGTAACCCAAGCTTCTCACTTGGAAATTTTACGCGAAAGGCGATCTGCCATGGCAAATCTATGAACCATGGTGAAAAGAAGTCAAAAGGGCATTCATGAAAATGTCAGTGAGCTTAGCGTACAGTCTGAGTCGTCATCAGCTAAGAAAGCCTCAGCCGAAAGAAGCGGAGGCTGAATTTGCAATTCTAATGGCGATGACATTTTTGTCAGCCGAGTGGTTATTACACTTCAAGCAACTTGACGTCTCCGGATTACTGACGGTTTTGAAGCGACCGCTTGGTGAGACACCAACATCTAAAATCTGCTAGAAAAAAGAGTAAAAAAAGCTTGCATCAAGCATGTCTGAAGAAACATACGTCCGAACATACGCAGAGGGGTTGTCACGAATTGATCGTGTCGTGGACGACTCCGGCTACGCATTTACGGCTCTCGATGTCGCTGTAGGTTCAAGTTATGCCTTGAATTATGTCACTTTACGCTTACAGTTTGGTGTTTCATTCAGGAGAAAGGTCTCGCGAGTCTGGAGCCGATCAAGAGTTATTCGCATTTGCTCTTTGTCAACGTTTCGAAGAACCAAATATCTGATGCGTCACCTCTTTTAGATCTTTCGTACCTTGTGTGCGTGGATCTGTCAAAGAATGTCCTCAAATCAACGCCAGATTTTCCACAGCCATACTTGCAGGTAAACTGCGATCACATTTAGCGATTTTGATAATGAAATCACACTGAAAATGGTGCAGTCGCTCGACGTCTCTGATAACCAGATCACATCTCTTCAAGGCCTTTCGTCGGCCTCCTTGACAGTGCTCAAGATTAATGGTGATTGTGCTTTAAGGATTCGTCGAACATTAAAATTCACATGTTATCCTGATTTTCCAGGTAACGGGTTGACAAGCCTCGTTGGTCTACAGAATTTACCATCCATCAAAACATTGGAAGCAGCTCGCAATGATATCATAGATGTTGAAAGCCTTGCAAATGATACAGCGCCAAGGCTGGAAACGCTGCACCTGGTAACCGTTGCCTTCACATTCTTCAATAATTTGGAAATTTGATGAGATTATGCTTCGCTGCGCATTGGCTTCTGTCGAAATTTTGATACTGAGACAGGATGAAAATAAAATTACGACGATTATGGGCATTGAAACTCTGCAAGAGCTAAAGACGCTCTCAATTCAACAGAACTACGTAAAATATTGCTTATCTGTTTGTATATGTTTACGATTGATGAGCTGACAATCTTTTGTTTTGGGTGGCAGATTGAATCTTTCGAATCCATCCAGCAACTGAGGCTTCTCACCAAGCTAACTTCACTTAATCTGACCGGAAATCCCGTGACACAAGCAAAAGATTATCGTGAATCTGTCATCTTGCTCGCACCATTGCTTAAACACCTTGATGGTGAAACACTTACTGACGAGGATCGCTTTGCTGCATTAGAGCTAAAGCGTCGGCGAGAGATGGAGGCTATGGAACAAGCTGAAGAGAAGTAGTAAAGCTTTGAACCTTTTAAGAACGTCTTATTATAAACGCTAAGGCCACGTATTTTTGCTGTCAACGATGTATGTGGAGCTTACTGCTGGGGCTCTTCCTTAGGGTTGAGCTTGATAAGATCGTCGATTCGCAATATGGTAATGGCAGCCTCCGTGGCAAAGCGTAGGCTTTTGATCTTGCTTATAGCAGGCTCGACCACACCAGCTTCCAAATTGTTTCGCACAGTGCCCTCTAGCAGGTCCAGACCCGAAAATCGCAAGTCGCACTTGGCAGCATCACTTTGCGATGTATTGTGGTGCGCACGGAGGCGCGCAACGAGCTCTGAGGCATCCTTGGCAGCGTTGACTGCCAGTGTTTTGGGGATTACTAACAGCGAGTCAGCAAACTCGGCGATGGCCAATTGCTCTCTGGAGCCCAACGTTGTCGCAAAGTTTTCCAGGTAAATAGACAAAGCCGCTTCTACTGCCCCGCCACCAGCAACGAGCTGGTTACTTTCGAGCATTCGCTTCACAACCATAAAAGCATCGTGCATGGAGCGATCCATCTCATCAAGCATGTTCTCATTAGCTCCACGAAGTACTACAGTAGTGGCTTGGCGCGTCTTGCAGCCCTTAATGTATATAAGCTCGCCATCGCCTACACGCTCCTCGCACACTTCGTGCGCCTCGCCCAAAGCCAAAGGGTCAAAAGTCTCTTCGCCCTCCATGTCGGCAAGCGTAAGCACAACTTGACCGCCTGTGGCCTTTGCAATACGCAGCAAATCTTCTTTCTTACAGCGTCGAACACCCATGCATCCGGACTCCACAAAGTATTTCAGACACAAGTCATCAATCCCTTTGGTCGTTAAAATCACGTTGGCACCCGCGTCGATCATCTTCTGGATCTTTTCTTTGGTGATGTCAACCTCACGCTGACGAATCAGCTCTAGCTCATTTGGGTCGTTAACAACCACCTGCACACCCATTTGCATACGGTGACGCTGCAGATCAAAGTCTAACAATGCAATCTTTGCATTTTTTATGTATGTGGGCATCTGCTGTGAAGCCTTCGTGCAATTTAGGGCAAATCCATCCACTAGATGCGTCTCGAGCGCGCTTTTACCATGGGCCTTGAGCACGTTAATCGAGCTGACGGGATACTTAAACCTAATCTTACCCTTGGCACCTTCCTGTTCTACTTTGACGGACGACACAGCGTCCACGACCAAATTGGCAAAGAAATCACTTTCAGGGCCAATAATCTTCGACGACATGCTGGTCTTCGCAGCGTTTACTAAGCTTTCACGACCCAGCGAATCTACGGGCACGCACAAATTTTCCTTAATGTACTTGACAGCCTCACGCATAGCGATACGGTATCCAGCAATAATGGACGTAGGATGTATCTTGGTCTTGACCAGCTCGTTGGCGCGCTGCAGTTAGCAGTAATTCCCAGTGAATACCACCATATTAGAGCTATTAATTAATAAAAAAGACTGATAGAATATCCTGAGCCTATGAATACCTTGAGGAGCTCAGCCGCTATTATAACAACGGACGTAGTACCATCGCCAACTTCCTGATCCTGAAGACCGGCAAGCTCTACAAGCACCTTTCCCGCAGGCTGCTCAACCTCAAGCTGCTTGAGAATAGTTGCGCCGTCGTTAGTGATAGTTACGTCGCCAATATCATCAACGAGCATTTTATCGAGTCCTACAGGGCCCAATGAGCTCTTGACGATGTTGGCAATAGCCACTGCTGCCGTTACGTTTAATTCGCGCACATCCTTTCCCGTTGTGCGCGTGCCGTCTACTACCAGGTCTGCCGTTTCCATGTGTGACTACTTCGACGCCCGTGTCCAAACGATCGTGAGTAGGGGGAATTAGGATATCTATGGATATGTGGTGTTTCCGACACAACTTGATCATCGCGGTTTATTCCAAGAATTTAATTCCGCGCGCACTCATTTAAAAATTTCGCAGCCATGAAACCTTCGCTGGCGGAAGCGATCGCGGCACTCAAACGCGGTGACGCATCAACACTGTCAAAAATAATGGATAAGCGAAAGCTGCAACATCGAAAGCCTAAAGGAAGCAAGCGCAAGGTAAAGGACTCTGAAAACGCCGAGATAGAGGATACGATAGAAATTCACGACGAGGTGGGCTCGCTAACCCGCGCGCAGCTGAGAGCCTTTTATCCGGCAGCTGTACAACTTGTTGCTCCAAGCGATAACGAAGAGGAGGAAGGTAATCGCCTCAAAGCTCGTGAGTGTATTGCCGAGTTCACAACGCTTCTGGTTGAGGCCAAGGATGCTTCAATCGACAAGGAGGAGCTATTTGCTGTAGCCCAAGAGCTTCACGATCAGCTTTTGACTCTGAAAGGAGACAAAAATCAAGTACTTGCCACGCAAGAAGCCATAGCATTGCTCTGTGAGTCTTGCTGGAGATACAACTTGTGTGGACGCGCATATTCGTTGGTAACGCAGCTTCTGCCTTACTTAATTGTGCGCAGTTATGAATCCCCATCAACAGGTTTTTTTAACTCGAGGAAGCACCCGATACGTCGGTTGTTTGCTGTAAAAAGTGCACTTTCTCTGCTTGATTTTGATGACGATAGTAGCGGGTTCTTGAGAGATATCTTGTTGCGGTGCTTCATCCAACCAACTTTTTTCAGATCACCGGACGCGGTATCATTTTTAAGTTTTTTGTTCACTTTACACGTGCCATTTATCGAGGATATCAACGAGACCATCAGAAATCAGATACCAAACCAGCGAAACTCAATTCTCGTCAAATATGGTAGCATCTACTTCAAGGTAAATCACGGTTATTTTATTACTAAATCAGATGATGTGAGGATTGTTTCTTATTGTCACTTGATGCTTGTAGGCCTGGGTTAGTAGCAAGGAAAGTTGCAAGAAGAAAATCGAAGAGGAGTGCATTCAACGATACGTCTGTGACGCAGTCCATGCGAGTAGCCTCTCTCTCTTTAATGCAGTACGCACAGTATTGCAGATATTCTTCGAGAACAAACGACATATTGGTGTAGATGAGATGCTCTATCGCATTTGCAGCCCCATTTTATGGCGTGGAGTAAAAGCTCCTAACGATTCGGTCCGTCGTCAAGCAACAATACTGTTATTTGATAACTTTCCGCTCCGTGATCCATCGTTCAATAATGAATTGATGGACCTGACTTTACAGAAACAATTTGACACATTTGAAGAAATCTTAGGTGACTCACATCCAGCACTTAGGGTAGCAGCTATTGAAGGTGTATCAAAGGTGCTGTCTACATACTGGGAGCTGATTCCAGCTGAGACTATTCGTTGCTTCATTTCGAAGCTCGTTGTGGATTTGGTAAATGACGTGTCCTCCAGTACTGTCCGTGCTGCGGTATTTGAAGGCGTTCAGTTCATCCTCGACAATCACAACTCACATGCAATCCTAAAACCACTCCTTCCGAAGGTTAGACTGCATAAGTTGGACTTTTCATAGCATTGGCTGATACCATCTGACGCAATGTATATACAGCTCGCACCTTTGATCAATGACCGGAATGAGAAAGTACGTGCTGAGTTTGGAGCTCTATTGATTCGGGTCAAGAGTATCCGAAACTTACACTTTTACGACATCGTTCCAGTTAACGACTTGCTTTATCGTATGGTAGAGGACCGTGACAGCCCATTAGCATGCAAGCAGCTGGTTTCCCTATTCTTGAACTCGTACTTTCCTCAAAGCGTTGGAGGATCTTCGCAAGTGGCTCGGTGTCTCGCTTTGGTAAAAAAAAATCCAGAGGCTGCAATGGTTTTTTATGCAAATGTAGTAGAGCATGTATCGGTTGGCTCTGTGTGCAAATTGGCTGCCCTTTTACTCCGCTGCTCTCTCAACTTTGTGTCAAAGCGCCTGAAGCAGACCCAGGAATCGGAAGATGATGACGTTGAGGATGAAGAGGACGATGAAGAGGGAGGTTTTAGCGTGGTTGGCCAGGTTGTCGTGCTAGAAATTATCGCAAATGTTCTTCATAGCGTGAACGTCAAGGTGTTCGGAGACAATCGTTATGCTGAATGCAAAACCTTCCTGCGTGAGCAGCTGAACGTCAACTCTTTAGAAGCACTTCTACTAGCTTACAGCAAAGACCGTCCTTACGATCAAGAAGCCCTCAGCTCTATTTGGAGAATCATTGGCTACCTCGGCGACCTGGCTGAAGAAAATTTGCTGGAGCGATTGGTGGGAAATTTTATGGAATTAAATGCGACCTCCAACCGAAAACTTCTAGAGTCAATGGTTAATTGCATGGTGCAGTGGGACCGGCTTCCGCTCTTGACATCAAAATTGGCAAAATTTCTTCATTTATGGCGAAAAAACAAATTACGCATTGACACGGATGGATTTAAATCAAAAAAATCGACTGCGTTAAAATTAAATCCTGTTGTGGTACTTGGTACAATTGAGTATATATTTCAGCTTCCGACTGTCAAAAATCTCAACACTCTTCTCCAACCTGTCGTTGAGGCCTTAAATAAATGCGTAGAGCCCGTTCTCGAATATGAGGTTGACGAGGTCAAAGAAGCATATATGGCAAGCCCATTTTTGATTATCCGTCTGATAGAAATTTATGCAAGAGGCTTGGTGATGGCTGAATGTGCTCACGTGAAAGATGAAACTTCTCTGCTGGTAGAGAAGTCAACCAAGCGCTTGAAAAAGAACGACGATTTACGTGACTTGCAGCCTTCTGAATTCTTCACCCCACCCATGCCACTCAATCCGCTATTATGTTGGCTGGCTCAGCTAATGCTACACTTTCGCAATGAAGTTGAGGTGGGAGATGTATCAAAGCGTGGAAAAAAGCGGCGACGGAATAAAAATACAGATGAAGTCCAGCCAGCACCTTTGAAGGAGATGCTGAACCGCTGGCGTAATTTATTTTCATTCGTTTCATTAATGGCAGCCGAAAGCGCTGCATTTGCACTTGAGCGCACACACTGGTTGCAAAATGGCCCAGCAGCCGACTTTATTGATGCATACACAGACACCCTGTCTGACACTTTGCAAAAAATGAAGTTCTCCGAGCGCACAGTGTTTTACCAAGCTGGACAGCTTTTGCATTTGCTGGGCAGCGCTAGAATTCAAGCTCTCAGTTCTACGAAAACGAGTCTTGTGTCTTCTCTCGAGCATTGGATAAGCAAATTACAGCAAGCTTTACTAAGCGCGCATAAAAAGTATCAAGAAATGTGTGATGACATCTGGCCAACAATCAGTGCTTCATTCAACGAGCAATGTGCACTGAAAGAATCGGAAACAGTTGTGTAAAATCTGCATCGGGCGTTAAACGCATACATAGTAAAAATGGGCATTTTAACAGGGTACAACAGACAGACCACGGATTGATCACACCTTTAAATTTACATGAAAGTCTGAGTGTGTAACGAACTACGGATATGTACATTATCGAAAAAACGGTGCCAAGATAGCCCAATAAATAGTTTGTGAATGCTGTCGTTTCTGGATGCTAGGGCTAACCATCTAGCTGCTGTGTGACTTCAAGGCTGTAAGCATTTGGCTCTGCGGATTAATTCAAGATTCATCAACTGGACTCACAGGTCGGGTCTCACAAACCTGAACGCACGAATGTGTCGTCTTAAATTCGAGCTCTGCCAGTGAAGGCCTTTCACCAGGATCAACTACCAAAAACTTCTTCAATAAATTTACTAGCGGCTCCTTTCCCGTCATGGCCACCTCGTCTTTTTCGAGTAAATATTCCACTCCGAAATCCTCCAATAGCCTAAAACGGTTATCTTTGCGTATCGGCTCG